AAATGCATAAGATTTAGCTGAGGTTTGAAACCAAAGGAAGTCTTTGAGGAAGTTGCGGGACTGGATTGCTCAAAAGTGAAATAAAAATCCCTGCCAGCAGAGGACTGATGGCATGCTATCGTCAAACTGAATTTTCTCAGGTGTATTCAAGGCATAGAGGTAATAAATGACAATCTGAGCAGACCTTGGTTAGTCATTATGACAAACTCTATTTGGGACTCTTGTATTAAGACGGAGTTAGAATGAAACCACAAAGCCAACTGTAAATAAAATATGTTTAGAAGATAAATTTAAAATCTTGAATGCTTCCTTGCTGTGTCCCTGTGTTACAATTTGTATGGAAAACATAAATAATATTTTTTTTTTTTTACTTTTTGGAAATCTTCACAGGATGCTGCTTTCAATAATTGGGTGTTGCTGTTTTGAAACCATAACTTGTCATTTTTAAAGTTGCGTAATTTTCCTGTGCTTGATGTTAATTATACACCAAGTGCAGAAAATATTCACACGCCCCATTCATTAACGTCACATAACGAAAACTTTTAATATTGTCCCTTTTTTATGAGCAGTTGTCTGTTTTTCTAATTTCTTCATTTCCGTTTCTATCTGTTTGAAGTCAAACAATCTTTATCAGGTGACTGCGGGTCGGTGACTGGTTTAGACTCGTGACAAATTTTTCTGTACAGAACTTCCTATTTCAAAATACTGAATTTCCATTGTCTGTGCTCTACACAATACACAAGTATTGCGAAAGACAAGTCTTTTTATCCCAGGTTACGAGGCAGTACGAAAGGTCAAGCAGCTCTTTTTGAATCGATTACTTCTGCATGAAAGTCAGAAATAAACATTTGATTATTGTTTTGATTACAGGTAAGCTAGAGAATTATGTAAGGATAGAATGTTAAAAAGATCATTAATGTATTTAGATACAACTGAAAACAGATGGAGGTGCCAGCAACCCTCCCGACCCCACTAAGGGACAAGGGTGTAAAGAAAATGGATGGATGGAAAACAGATGGTTGCATTTATATTTCTCACTGACGCACAAAAGTGTTCCTGTTTTAGGCCTTAGGCCAGGTGGGATTAAGATATATAACATATGTAATTTAATATTATTTATTTTCACTAAGTGGCAGACTAATAAAATTTATATATATATATATATATATATATACATATATATATATATATATATATTTTTTTTTTTTTTTTTTTTTTTTTTTTTTTTTTTTTTTTTTTTTTTTTTTTTTTTTAAATTTT